CAGTTTGCAACTCTACTGCCAGTTCTCATGTTAAATAAATATAACTTATTAACAGAAACACAATTTCCCAGTTCAATAACTTCCCAAAACCTTACCACACTTTCAGTAATTCAGCAACATGACCCGTTTCATCTGCCATCAGCACACCTGTGCAGGTGGCTGCTGTCTTCCAGTTACACACAGCTGAAGGATATCAATGAGCTGATTAGAGACTCCTGATGTATTGACTGACATTTCTGTCAAAGTCCAGCTGCAGACTGTGCCAACACTAAATACAGACAATGAGTTACACACATTTCAACAGTTTTCACTGGAAATGTTTCAGTTCAGTTTTAATCAGGAAACATTCAACAATTAGTGATTCCAACTGACTCCAGGTTACATATATTCTGATTGGTGGATTAATTTTGGAGCTCATTCTTGGTGGATTACCTTTAAGCAGTGTTTGCCAGGTGCTACCTTTTCCATTTTATAGTAAGTAAAGTTAAGTAAAATGGTGGGGAAAATAGGAAGCAGGACATTTTTAAAAAGGCTGCACATGCCACATTTTAGACTCCACAGACAAGTATTTTATATCACTGTGTTGAGCAGACTCCTCTCAAACAACACAAAGCTTTAGCTGATAGGATTTAATAGTCTTTGAATGGCAAGCCATAGTTGTTGTGTCTCTCAGCTTAATCATTAGTGTCCCTATTCAGAGGCCGCATCCTTCGGAGGACACTGTGTACAAAAGCGTGGCCCTTCGAGGGCCAAACCCAAATGAGACGGTCTGGTCTACAGTGGATTTTCGCTGGGCATCAGCAGCTGTTCCCGCCCTTACCATTGCGTCGCAAGCGCAGCTCCTGTCGCCTAGCAACTTTGACAACACATAACTTTACTTCACAAAAACTTGTGTTCAAGGCCTGTGGTTTTAACAGTTGCTCCGTTTGCTGTTGGACTGAGCTGAAACCCAATTTTACATTTAAAAGTGTAATCCTCAGGCTCTGGGTCAGTGTTGTTTGCTCTCATTACCAGCGCGCGGTGGGTCTTGGTGTAGGTTGGGCAACGTGGAGCCTTCGTTGCCCAGGGAAAGAAGCACGCATTTGTCGGCTGCATTTGAAGGAGCCTTTGAAATGGGACATTCTAGTCACGCTGCTGTGACGCAAGCTGTCTTCAAACGCAGCCTCTGAAGGACGCGGCTCCTGAATTGGGGCACAGCCCATGTCTCACTCAGTAGAAACTGAGCACTTAGGATCACCATGGCAACCTCTGAGTAAGGTGGTCATGAACAGCTAAATCAGATCAGTTAATTAAAAGACTTCTGTGATGTCTGTGGTGTTTATCAAACATTTGACTGATAATGGGCAGTTTTGTCATTGTAACTGACTCCACACAGACATCAGTTCAGCTTCAGCTTTTCTCACCAGAAAGCAACCCCACTGCAATTTCTCCAGAAATGACATTTTCTAGCTTTTCTATTGGTGGTTTTCTGAAAATGGCTGAAGAGAAGACGACTGTTTACCTTTACTCTATACAACAGCATTGTCTCCAGATCTCACCATTTTAAGAAATGTTGACTTCATCATTGAGGTTACGGTGCCAGAGGTATGTTCAAACTTCTGTTGAGGAAAGAATTTTTATTTTCTCTATCAATATCCCACTTCTACTGCACTAATCCGATGTAGGATACAGTGTTCACTTAATGACCCATAAATACACGTCTGTTAATTTAATATTATATCTATATTATATTATATCTTATAATCAATTTGTTTATTCTAGATATTCATCAACAAAACTGATTTCTTTTACGTAGGCCACAACTGACATCCTGGTGAGGTTGGAGGCTTTACAAGGATGAGAGATGAATAGTTGTCCCCAAGGTTGTTTTAAAAGCCAATTCCTTTATTCTGTATGAAAGTTATTTTTAAGTAAATATCATATTTTTGCCAAAGTATTTCAGTTACATGGTGATTTTATTGTCTTCAAGTCTTGAGACAAAAGTATGAAGGTATTTTTGGTGCCAAACAACTGAACAGCTGTGACAGTGGAATTAGTAGTTGTATGTGTATCAGTAAATTCGAGGTCACAGAGGAAAAATGCTTTAGGAGTTGCACACTTTTAGATTTTTTTTCTCTCCCACAAACACAACAGTTACACCTTCTCAAATTCTTCATGCAGGTGCACAAATCCTGTTTTTTTTTATTAAGAAACTCATGCACTCACATCTTTGATGCAGTTGCTGCAGTGAATGTGGTGCAAACACGCTTCTTTTCTTGGATATTTTTTATATTTATAAATATTATATATTTACTAAAATATAGGCTACAAAATAAGAGCATGGCCACAGCATCATTCTAATGGTGGAGAGTGCAGCTTCCAAAATCAAAGCTTTACAAAACAACTGTGATTAGCCTGTCCCCCAGGTCATTCAATGATTTTAGCACTAGGGAAAAGTTTATCCTTCATTGTTCATATCAATTTTCAAAACTTCTTCAGCAACTGCTTTCACCCCCTGCATGAAGCCTTTCCCTCAGTTAATTGAAAACAGGTTTCCTTCTCTGATGAATAACTCTGACATCATTTACAAAACGAAAGTCTAATTATATTGGACATATTCCACACAGGCCTATATATCAATAAAGATATAAGTGTAATACAGCATCAGAGAGGGTGAATGTTAGACAGAGAGCATTGTACCACCCGTGTGTAAAAAATACAGGACGTGCATATAACCCACCTGTGTGTGAACTGTTAACTCATTTGTTTATGATAGATTGTTTAAATTACTGAGATATCATAATTAGGCCTACACTTAATGTCACTTTTCCAGAGCTATGGTTTCAGCAGGTGAAATTCACAGGTGTCTCTTCACTGTAGTTTGTTTTCCAGTGAGGTTCATCCGGGAGGTTTTCCAGGATCTGCTGTTCAAGAGAACGACTTTGCCTCAGACAGGTTTGGCATGGGGTTAACTCAGGTCATGTCCAAGTGCAAATGAGAGTGGACAGTTCTGCAGCTCTGACGTCACCTCGGTCAAGCGTCACCATTCTGTTGCCATGGCTTTTACGGACGAGCATGGTCAAGCTATGATCTTAAAGTGCCTCTGCAGGTTGTGAGGACCTGCAGCAGCTCTGCCTCTGTACCGAGAAACACTGCTGTTCACACCATCTGGACTCAGAGCACAACAGAGGTCACATCTGAGAATCAGCCATGTAAACACATTTATGTTGCATCAAGTTGTTGTCTATAAGTGCAAATTTTCTTTATTTTTTAAATCCAATAAATGTACCATGTCCCAAACCTTTTATTTACAGACCATTGATTTCATATTAGAAAAGAGTAGCCAAATGATGAAGTAATTACCAAGTAAAGCAGATCCAATCAGCTCTTGTATTTCAATTGTGCTGGAATAAAAACTTGTTTGATTGTTGAATGAAAAGTTATTTGTACTTTTATTCACAATGGGAAGGTCAGACTGTGGAAACTACAAAAACATTATGTTTATTACACAGAAAGAACGTGGGTGTGTGGATGAAACTGGCTCCTGCGTTTATTTTGGCCGACAACAATGTGGACATGCTTTATGAGACTTGGTATTACCTCCCTGTCTTCACAATGCAATACGGGATATTACTGGATACAGAAAGGACCCTCCTATCTTACCCTCCTCTGAGCTATACTGGCCTACTTATCATAAAAATACTGACCAACTCTCTTTATTCTGCTTTAATTTCACTCTGTAACTACCCAATATATTTACAGTTATTCCCAGTAATTATATTAATACAACTTGTAATTATATTGATTTCACTGATTTTACTTGAATGTTATTTCTTCACATTAATACATATTTAATAACAGCCTGTAAACTAAAGGGTTACCCTGACCCATACACAAATGTAATATATGTACATATACTGAATTTCCATATATGAAATATATGTACATATAAAATGAAAACATGTAAAAATTATATATGAAACCTATTAGAAATTGGAGCCATTTCATACATTGACATATACAGTATGTCTCACCCATACAAATATGTATGTTTATGTATATATGCTTATATTGTACACATATGTTACATAAATATATATCCATCCCAAAGCCTCATGTCTCATCTCACTGTGCTGCAGAACAGAGAGGTTCAGGAGATCCTTTGTTCCCACTGCCATCAGGCTATACAACACCTCAACCCTGTTATTATTATTATTATTATCAACAATGAGCTAATGGACACATGAATTTCCCCCTAGGGGATAAATAAAGTATCTATCTATCTATCTGTCTATCTATCTATCTATCTATCTATCTAATAATATATCCTCTTATAGGTGACATACAGTATATGGCAACATCACTCTTGATATAGGGACATATATGTCATATATTCCATTTCTGTATGGTGAATTCTTCCATTCAAATAAATAAAGTGAATGATATGTAATCATCTTTAAATGGTTTGGATAATTATCAGACAGATGTAAGTTTAATATATAAAGTTTGGTTGGTCTCTGAGTAACTGAAGCAAATGCGTCAGACACGTCCCTGATAACAGTTGACTTTTATTATCATCAGCTCAGTTTGAGCTGTGAGGGTTAGCTATTAAATGACCTTTCAAAAAATCAGCAGAAAAAGTTAAACTAGATGTTAAACGTTGCTTAAATTGACATATCACCTGAGCCGACATCTTAGGCCTCCAGAGTCCATCTTAACAGTTTGTCACATTTTAATACACTGCAAGAAATATCAGTAAATAAAATTCATTCTTTTTTTTCTTTTTTCTTTTTTTTTTTTTTACAGTGGAGATAACCTCCCTCCTTAACTCCGACTCTGAGGGAGTGTTTCATAAAACTAAACTATGAAAGGAGAAAAGTAGTTTCTTCACTCTGACGTCACCTCCAGGCTTTTTGATGCAGAGCCTCTCCTTCAAACTCAGAGTGAGGAAGTGAATGTGGATATTTTGTACAGTGTGGAGCAGGGAGGCTTGGCTTCTCTGTAGAAGTGAAAGTAAAAGTAAAAGCCTCTAAAAAAAAAAAAAAAAAAGCGCTGACACACAGCGTGACAGGGCCTCAGCTTATTTTAATTTCACCTTCATCTTCATCTTCACCCTCACCTTCCTCTCCTCTGCGGCTGAAGATGCTCCACAGTCTGAAGCCCACCGAGCTGCAGTCCAGAGGTTTCTGCTTTGAAAACAGCCGCAGGTAAGAAACACTGTGTCTGCTCATAGCGAGGCTGAGACTGCTCCGGTCATTTCTGCTACTGTGGCGTGTCTGTCTGTTTAATACTGAGTTTATAACGTCAGCAGATTGTCCTGGTATTGTGCTTTTATTGTCTGTGGCAGTCCACGTCCAGGTCCAGACCTCGACTTTGAAAGACAGAAGATTGTCATTTGTTTTTCAAAATAAAGCTCTAGATTTAGTTTCAAAGCTCTCTGAGAACTGAACTGTGACTCCATGACCTTTTTATTTATAGGCCTAGAATTTCAATATGTTGAATATGAGAAATACAACAATCAGCAAGGGAAACAATGACTGTTGCCTGTAAAATGTACGTTCCCCCAGGATGCTCCACGGTCCTCTGTCCAACACACAACACCTTCAGACTGTAGACCTTCATAAAGACAAGAGCAAAACCTTCCCATTAAAAACAGGAGCGACGTGAGGAGGATGAGCAGTGTCTTGAGTCAGATCCAGACATGCAGGTGTTCAGATTCCATTTTAATATTATTAAACTGGTATGAACAGAAACACAGTCTTAACCCAGATAGCAAATTGAAACTTCTGGCCTAACATATTCCACGGGTCCTCTGCCCAAGTCTGGCCCATATACTTCCACATCTGGGCAGAGTCCGGCTGTTATCCGCCAGTTGTGACTGACCGCTGGACTATTGTGATCCAGATGTGGAGGTAGCATCTAAAATCATGCTGTATATGGGCCGGATTTGACGTGTGGAATACTGAGCCAGAAGAAAACAAGCATGTGGGCCAAGTATGGGCCGGATTTATTTTGCTATCCGGGAAGGTTTGGATGCTCGACTGTTTTAAATGAGTGCAGAAGAAGATAATCTTGTAAAATGTGATCCATTAATACAGAGAGAAGCCAGTGATCGTTTGTTGATATGTAATTAATAAAATGCTCTCATATATAATTGAATTTGAATTAGGGCTGAACAATTAACAATTAATCGTAATATTATCAATATCGCAATACAGCCAAGTGCAATATCCAAATCACAGGAGGTGCAATTTTTCTGATGAAGGTAAAATGTGTCCCAACAACAGACCAACCATAAATGAAGCGTTGTGTTGCCACAGAGACGCCCCTGTCTACAGATCATATTCTCCAGATGTAAAGGAACAGACCCAACAAATGATGGTGATGTGATTTTACAGATAGAATGAAGATGTGTCTATCTGTTGTTTTTATAAATATTACTGATGTAAACACAGAACAGCTGTAACTGGATTTTATTTGTGGAATTTTCTTTTTTATTGCATTTTTTAAATGATAAGCTACAAAAACACATGCAACCCCCCACACACATACAAAGTAAGTAGATAAGTAAATAAAATAAAATGTAAATACAGCAAGTAAAACAGTACCATATATTTTACGATGTGAAAAATAAATAGACAATTAAAAAAAAAAACAAAAGAAGAAGAAAGAAAAAATAATGAATAACATAAAAAAGGGAATTAAGTTCAAGAGAAACTCTCCCAGTTTTCAGGGTCTATCAGATCTGGACATTTGATATTTAGGCAGGACCATTATCCTGTAATCACACTTCTTGTGGAACTCCAGATATTACAGAATTTACCAGGTGAGTTTATTTGTTGAATTTCAAAGTAAATCACTCTGTTGTGTGACGGGAAGCCTGTCTGTCCTTCTTAACACTTGTGTAATCCACTGGTGGTCAGGACACACTGTAGTCCTGTGTTAGTGGTCAGATATCAGGAGGGAGACAGTGAGTCCACTCTGTCTGTCTCATGCTCACCCATTGTTTCCAGGAATGCAGTGTTGGAGTCCAACTTATCGGAGCTCGGCTACAAAGCTCCCAATGCCAGAAAAACAGGAACCACCATCGCCGGGATCGTTTACAAGGTGAGGACCTGACTCCAGTGTTTTCACCACAGACACACACACAGACTGTAATCTGGTTTAGAAGTGAACTGCGGTCCTGAGTATTTACCTGTCCTGTTCCTCAGGACGGAGTGATCCTGGGAGCAGACACCAGGGCCACAGACGACATGGTGGTGGCCGACAAGAACTGCATGAAGATTCACTACATCGCTCCAAAGATCTAGTGAGTGAAAGCAGAGTTCAGGTCCACAGCGGGGGGAGTGGCTGTGTCCTCAGTGTTGGTCTGTCTTCATACTCAGGATGACTTTTTCTGTCATGACTCTGTCCTTGTGTAGACTGGGTCAATGTGGTTTATCACAGGTGTGGGCAGAGGTAAAAATGTGAGACATATTGAGGGGAAAAAATCTGAAATTTTGAGAATAAACTCATAATATGTCAAGAAAGATAAATTATAATATTATGAGAATAAAGTCTTTAACTTTACAAGAAATAAGTCATAATATAATGAGAATAAAGCTGTAATTTTAGGTCTCATGTTGTTTTAGAGGGAAACATCAGAAGCTTTAAAATGAGGAACGTGGAGCATCCTGTGAAGTTCTACTTTAGCAGAGGTTTCACTAATAAGGAGAAATTTCATCTTTTGGCTTTTCATCATCATCATCATCATCATCAGCAGCATCAGGGCATTAAAAAGATTGTGAAGAAACTGGGTTTATTCTATAGTTAGACAAACAGCAGCTGACACTGACTGTCCTTTCACCTGTTTGATTGGTTGATGTAATATTCCTAAAAAAAATATGTTTTTAAGAACAGTTATGCGGGGCAGGGTGGGGCAGCTGTAGCTCAGGTGGAGCAGGTCAGGTATTTCTCACTGGTGGTTCAGTCCCCTTCCCCCCGTGCTTTAAGTATGTGCTGAATGTAATGTGTGTGTTCATACACAAACTAGAATCACCACCGTATGGTTGTATCCCTCCGCCACTTGGACTAGTTTCAGGTTACATCCCTGTTTATCCAGAGTCATAGAAAATATGAAGCATGTGTGTGAACTTTTGTCATAATTGCTGGTTGGAGTCTTGAGTAATGGCTAAAAAGGGTTTTATGAGGTCACACTGACCTTTAACCTTTGACCATCAAAATCTCATCAGTTCGTCCTTGAGTCCAAGTGAGCTTTTTACCAAATTCGAAGAAGTTCCCTCTAGGTGTCACTAAGGCCTCAAAGCCAAAACCGTGTTTTGCAAGGTCACCACGACCCTGACCTTTGACCTTTGACCACCAAAATTATAGTGCCATTATTGTGCTCACCTGTTGCTGTAACATCTGAGACAGACCCGGGTGCTTTAAATGTTGATGACGAGGACCTCGGCCATCAGCTGACGAACTCAACCGTGTCTGTCACATCCTGTAGCTGCTGCGGCGCCGGCGTGGCTGCAGACGCAGAGATCACCACGCAGATCATGGCGTCCAACGTGGAACTGCACACGCTCAACACCGGGCGACCACCCCTTGTCGCCATGGTAACCCGACAGCTGAAACAGATGCTGTTCAGGTTTGTTTCCTTGTGTTTCTGTACGTCAGTTCAGTTGGCCTCCTCACCTGGGACAGGTTGTTCAGATGAAGGTGGAGCAGAATGTGGTAAATGTCAGTTATTTTTTATTGTGTGAGGTTTTGAACATAAAGCGAACAGTTCTGAGATCAGTCTGTAAACACAACACAGAATGAGTGTAAGTAAAACAGAGTTCTGGTTCAGTTTTAGCGGGAAAGATGAATTCATTTTGTGTCACAGTCTGTTTTGAGTCAGGGTGAACTCAGACTTGTTTCCGCTGAACGAGGGGAAGCAGCAGTGACGTCTGTCTGGTGTTTCAGGTACCAGGGTCACGTCGGTTCATCTCTGATTGTCGGAGGAGTTGATGTGACTGGAGCTCACCTGTACAGCGTTTACCCACACGGCTCCTACGATAAACTGCCTTTCCTCACCATGGGTACGTTGCTGTGTTTACTGTATGAACTTTACTGTATACTGAATGAAAACAGTTTAAATTTGAATAAAGTTTCCTGATGTTCGGTTGTGGTTCCAGGGTCTGGAGCTGCAGCTGCGGTCTCTGTGTTTGAGGACAGATTCAAACCAAACCTGGAGGTGAGACCTTCCTTTCATCTGGTGTAATCTAATCAAACTGCGCTGTCTGTGTCAGCATTTGAAATTCATTCATGCATTCTTGCTATGAATGAATTTCAACGGGATAGTTTTGCTCCGACAGCTGAAGCACCACAGTGTAGGGCCCAACAAACCTGGCTTGAAGTGATGACCCCACCACGGGCAACAAAGCTGGTACTTGGGCCCCCCTTACTAAGCTGACACATCTCAGAGCGCCAGCCATACAAATGCTTCATACTGCGAGCCTGAGATTTTTCCAGATTCTGTTTTGCCAGTTGACCAGCCATATAAAATCTCTGTCTGAAACCACTGTGTGACAAGCGGCTACAAAGACACAACATCAAGACAAGCGGCCAAAACCACAAATGACAAATGTGAATCATGTGAACAGACGTAGAATAAACAACCAGTAGAAACAAGAAACTCAGAAGTGTTACACTGTGACACAGACACATTCAGACTAAACTGGGTCTGTTTGTTTTTTGTTTTTTTTATTTATTTGATAGGGATGATGCATTTTAACATAGTTTCAAAACAAAGCATGAAACGAATTTGTTGCACAAAGAGTTTATAGCTGTTGCTAACTCTGTCCCTATTGACATGTGTAATGTCAATAGCAAAAACAACACAATTGATAATATCTTACATTTAGTTAGAATAAACAGAAGTTCAGTCCAAAAAGAGACAACAACAACAACAAACTCTAAATAGTCAAACAAAGACAATTACTAAATAGAGTTACCTAGAAATGAGTTTGCTCTGGTTTGCTTTTAGCAGCACTGAGCCTTTGTTGTGAAGGAATTTATATCTGGAGTTAATTTGATTTGAGTTGGTGATGTGTTCACAGCCCTTTATAGAAAAAGATGATTGTCTAAATTCAGATCTACGATGTGGTATTTTACAGTTGCTGTTTACCATGCTCCTAGTTACTCTGTTACCGTCTTGCCTTTGGATATATCTGGAGAGAGACTCTGGGGCTAAACTACTGATACATGTATAAAGTAATTTGAAAAAGCAAAGATGAATGAAGCTCTCAAACCTGAGTAGATTGTATCTTTTCAGTATGTGTCTGAAATCATCTGTAACAGAGTGAGATCAGGTGAATCCTGAACAAGTACTGCTGCTGCCGCTGCTGGGTCAGCTTTTCTAATAGTAATGAATGGTGTCGGCACAGAGGAGCTGAGAGCAGCTGAATCACCTGACTGTAAAAACCTGAGCAGGCTGGTTACTGTCACAGGCTGGAGGCTGTTGTCAGAAAGCTCTGCTCTCCACTGTGAAACATGGCGGTGAGTGTGGACAAAAGAAAACATGTTGTAAGAAGTCAAACAATCCACAGCCAGCTTCTTAATGTACGGAAAATATTTTACTCTTACAAATGGGTCAAACTGTATTTCACTATAAGACCTGTGCGCAGCGCATTATTTCACTCAACCCCTCCGAGCCCCACTCACCCGCTCTCACTCACACACACACATACCACAAGCACATCGACAAAGTCTGTCGATCGGTTAAAAACAACAACGTATACATGTTTATTTGCATAGAAAGCGGGAAAGTGAGATCCGATCACAAGTAGTCAATGGAGACGCATGTGTAGATGCATTTTAAAGCAGGTGTAAACTGACGAACTTCGAGCTGACCACCTGGCAGTGTGTCGTTGTGTTGCTCATGTGCAGGAGATGTGAGCAGATGGAGAAGTGAGGAGCTTCTTTTGGAGGAGTTGGAGGAGTCTGATCCCCTGGATGTCCTGACCCTGTCTGTTCCTCTCTCTTCCAGCTGGATGAGGCGAAGCAGCTCGTACGGGACGCCATCGCTGCAGGGATTTTCTGTGACCTGGGTTCAGGCAGCAACGTTGACTTGTGTGTTATCACCGCAGCTGGAGTGGAGTACCTGCGAGGCTATGACAAGCCCACGACGAAGGGCAAGAGGTGAGACTGTAGATACTGTACCTTTGATCAGAAGAGCATCAGTCATGTCTCCTCCAGCCCTTCTCCCGCTGATCTTCTGTTGCATTCAGATGTAAAAGGAAATCTGAGTTCCTTCAGTGGTACTGAAGCTCCTAATGTGTCATTAAACAAACTAACTGTGTTTCTCCTCCCTGTCTTGTTTCAAGAGAGGGACAGTACAGGTACAAACCAGGCACCACGGCCGTCCTCTCCAAAACTGTGACTCCACTCTCCCTGGATGTGGTCGACCAGTCTGTTCAGATCATGGACACTGAATAAAATACAATAAAAATACTTTATACTGGAATAAACTCTGTTCAATGTGTGGTGATAACATGTTGGTGTACTGATAATGAAAGACCAGTGTGGTGCAGGATGTAGAAGAGGTTGTCCCACAGCATCACTTACTGTAAAAGTCATGTTGTAATAAAATCTTCGTTTTGTTAAATGATCTGAGTCTCGATGTTGTTTGGTGACACTGGTGCTTTATAACAAAATCATTAATAATCATTTAAAATACTTCCCTCGTCGTATTAATGATCATTTACTGAACAATAATTTTATTCTACTGCGGTTTAACTCTGACTGGTTTTTTAAATAGACCTCCAATCATCTCCCTCTGTCTACGTCCAGCCTAAAGGTGCGTTTCAGCCTCTCACAATCACAGTGTGTCAGATCCACAAACTGGTTTATGTCTACTCCGATCACGTTCCGCCCATTTATCGAGTTCAAATAGCTCCCATCAAGCGCTCCCAAAACGTTTGCCCCGCCCAATTGCTCTAATCCAATTGGTTTAGCTGGTGGAGAGGCGTCGTTTGAATTTCTGTGGCTGTTGTGTTGTGCTCGCTCGGTGCTGTTCAATCTCTTCAGTTCACTGTTTTTGGTAAAAGCCTGGGTCATTGTTCAGCTCCTCAGGTAAGTTTACAGCCAATATAAACACACCGAGTTAATATGCATTACTATGGCGATAGCAGTTGGCAATTAGCAGCTAAAAGTTAACGTGCCGTTACAGTGACTACGGAGCTAACACTAGCTGCTAACTTTACCGTGTGAGTGTTCTTGTGCAGCAGTTGTCAACTGAAATAAAACAATACCGTTAAGTCTCCTCGGTATTCGTACATTTCTCCGTGACTCGGTCTCACAGGGAGAAAATGGAAACGTTATTTTAACCCGTTGTCCTCAGTTTGTTGTTTCCCATCTGACCAGGATCCACAGGCGAGGCAACTCTCTTTTTACAGTTTTTCTTTGATGCATTTCACTCATCAGAAACATCATTCTCACAACTCTCGATGCAGTTCTCAGAACAGTTGATGCATTTCTCCTAACAATAAACACGTACAAAAGCCTCTACAACAATCAAAACATTGTTCACGTGTCGAAACATGCAAAGTCAGTCAATTCAACGTTGTCACCAATGAATTAAACCTTTATACCAGAGCTTCAAGACTTAGACTCCAAATGTTTTGATCTTTATTTAAAACCCTGACTGACTTTAGGAAAAGAGAACTGCAAAGTTATAGAGTAAAACATGTTCAGATACACAACACGTTACTACGGTTGATTCATGCTCGTATTCACAGTTTATCCTCAGTCTGACTTTAATCAGTGAAATTATTTCTACTGTGGGTTTTTTATTCTAGTTTGTTTACATTTCACCTTGTTGAATTTCACTTTATGACGTCACTATAACTGAACTTACCCGCAGGTATCAGTGTTTCTTCTCATATCATATTTATACTTTGTTCATGGTTCTTATTATGTTGCTTATAATGAACAACTCCGCCTTTTTTTTAACTGAGCCAGTTGATAACCTATTTCGTAGTACAGCTGATCCAGGATGGACAATGTTAGGTTCAGTTAAACCAGACAACAGAAAGTTATCCTGGGTTTGTTGAACCTGCTTCGTAGTTCAGACCTCGGATCATGTCTTCAAAATCATTTATTTATTTGTTTACAGGTTTATGTAGGACCATACAGATGTTAGTTAATGAAACAGATGTGGTGTGTATGAGCATCTGGGTCAGTTCTCCTGGAGGTTCTGGGAGTGTCCCTCAGAATCAGGGGCCTGGGGAGCATCTGCTCCCTGAGATCGGTTTATCTGATGATTGATAGTTGAAGTTTATTTTCAGATGTCATCTGACCTACAGTCCAAAACCTATATTCAGTTTAAAGTGAACAATATCACAGACTGTTTTATATCCTGTGCAAAATCTGTCCTTTAACAACATTTTAGTTTTTAACACATATACAATTATGATGTTTAGTATATTTTAATTCATTTTATCTACACGATAGTTCAACACTGAATATTATCATCCCGCTTCAATCTGACCGACCAAGACAAGTTTCTGACAACTGTGTTTGTAAAGACCATTAACTGAAATCACCTGAACATAAAACACAGCACTGCTTTTAGTTTTTGTTTCCATATGGAAAGAGGAATTTGATGATGAATGAATAGTTGGTTATCAGAATTAATGATACATTTTCTGACCACCTGCAAATCCTGTCAGTACTCCACATGTGTTCATGTTTGTGTTTCAGCTGTTTCAGTAACTGAGTGAATGGAACAAAAATCATCAACCTGCTGATCTTTGATAATGTCTTTCACAGTCTCACCTCGACTGCTGTATTGTTTCTTCCTTCTGTGATCCTAACCTGTTTTGGAGGCGATGCGTCATAATACATCTACCAGCCGCCGGAAGGGCAAAACCCCTCAACGTCGCCCCCCCGCACCGGCACCGGCACCAACACCAGGGACCTCCGGTTCAAAACCCAGGTCCCCGAGAAGGAGCAGACTTTCAGGTGAGACTGAGTTTATTTCTATGGTATTTATCCAAACAAGAGATTACAACATGTTATATACAATATGAAAATACAGAAAAAAGGGAATGTACATGATGTACCAGTTCATGTGTACAGCAGCTTCAGAAAGTCTTCAGACCACTTCCCTTTATTACACTGTAGATTTAATTTTAAATGGAAACAAAATTTTCCCTTTTAAGTTGTAATCTGTAATTTTTCCATAATAAAATGTCTAAAAACAACTGGACCTGTGTTCTATATGTTGTTGAGTTGTGTTCTTACATCATCTCAAATGTTTCCATCAATTCTCAAACCGGAGGAATCTGTGATTTTAATCATGGAAACGTTTCATTGGTCGCCTGTCAGTGACATCATATCCTCTATGATCATGTGTCAGTGTGTTTGTCTGACAGAAGCTCAACATTGACTTTTATCTAGTTTTAAGCCACATACACTTTTTCCACCTTGGTGGTTTTCAGCTCTATATTTGAACCAGATGAAGGATTTTAGTCGTCGGACGTCTGGATCTGAAGTTATCAGAGAAACAAGCTGAGGAAATGTTTGTTGTGGAGAGGAGGACACCTCTGTGGATCATTCAGCTGCTGGTAAAAACCTGCTGAACATCTGCTTCATAAGTTTTCAGAGGAACAATCAGAAACAATCTCAGCTCCAGCTCTTCCCTGAGTCTCTGTCCTCCGTACAGCGTCGCTCAAACTCTGACTTTAAATGTCAAACTGCTTCATTCAGTGATTTTAATGGTTAGAATCACCAGGTCTGTTTGATTTCCTGAACCACTGACACTGAAGAAATCCAAACCGGGAGGAGCTTATGGTGATGGTGGTGAAGACGACAACTCCCATGATCCCATGCTACTTCATGACGTAACCCAACGCCATCTTTTGTTATTGTTTTGATTGAGAGACCCTTGTTAAAGACTGAGTGTTTAATCTACACACTAATTCAGAACTTCTGAAGGGGGCCCCACAAAGAGCTGGATTAAGGAGGATTAATGAGAGATGTCAATTTTGATTTGAACATGTTTTCATTTAGTCATTATGGGTGACAGAGTGTAGACTGTCTCGATAAAATCCCAAATTTATCAATTTAGAGTTAAATCTACAAGGCGTCTGAAACACACAAAATAAACACACACAAGACAAAAGCTTGTCAGTGAAGAGGATACTGATTCTGAAAATCAGTTCAATCCAGAGCTGAGATCCTCAAACAGAAAAACCTCTATCCTCTATCAGACATTTAGTAAAACATGTCTCTACTCCACAAGCTAACAGTTTCATATCCTGTCTGTATAAAAACACTTCCCTCTGGTATTTGTCAAGTGGTGCTCTCACCTCCTGTAAAACATCAAACCCTCTGTGTCTGCCCTCCAGAGCTGGCTCCTGTGACTCCTAGGAAGAGGAGGTTTCGACCAGGAACCAAGGCCTTAATGGAAATCCGCAAGTACCAGAAGAGCAGCGACCTTCTGCTCAGGAAGGGACCGTTCTCTCGCCTGGTGAGTAACAGCAGCAATACCACGAGGAGCATATGAATGCTGTAGTTGATGTCTGCGCTCAGAAATCTTCTGTTCTTCGTCATGCATGAACAGGAATCAGCCCTATGCTCTAAAGAGCTCCTGGTACAGTGGTGGTGATTGAGCTGTTGTTTGAGGTTAAAACTGAAACACTGAATCACAGGTTGACATGGATTTGATGAACGAGAATTATATGAAGTTTTGCCAATGAATTTAATTCTATAACCTCCAGGTGTAGATTTTGTGAATGAACTGGAACTGATCTTCCTCTGGTTCAGGTTCGTGAGGTCTGTCATAGTTTTTCCAGAGAGGCTCTGAGGTGGCAGGTCTACGCTCTTCTGGCCCTGCAGGAGGTAAGCAACCGTCTCCACAGCCGAGCTCACAGTCTGTTCTGTTTATACACATGATTCAGTGGAAAATGTCCTCAAACTCAGAACACCTCAGACTGATGATTTCAGTCCGGGATAAAACTAAAACCGAGGTTGAACATTTTCACTTGGCTTCAAACATAATTCATAAAACTCTTACTGTAACCATAAAAACCCAGTCACACACAGACCCTTGTATAGACGTCTGTGTGCAGACCGTACATGTAGCACCGACTGCACATGCTCCAGATAACAACATGGAGTCTTGATTTGAGGAGGCCTGATGTTACCCACATTTAAGATTCTCTGTGGATTCATGACTTTCAGCACCTGTGTTCACATCAATATAAAATAAAGAAAAGTGCAGCTTTTATGTTTAAGTCTAAAAACTGATCTCTGATCAGCTTTTTAGTAGAGATGAAACAGTTACCGGTTTAAAGCTATATCACGGTAGATATGCCCGACGGTTAGAATTAGATTTTAAGTATCACTATAACCGTTTATTTCCGTGGTTAATTACAATGGTTAGATTCTGTACAGCATTACAGCAAAGCCTCCCAGACACATGCGCCACAAGCACTGCTCCAGAGATTCTTCAGCCTTCTAATACCTTTCGACTCCAAAGTTGGCAGGTATAAGTAAGTTTTTAAAAAGTGAGTAAGCCTGCTAAAAAAGTGATAATACTGATAACCATGGTAATTTTGTTCACTGTAATCGTGATATTTAATTTTTCTATCATTTCATCTCTACTTTTTAGTTCCTGTATAGCAAAATTATCACAACACAGAGATGCTACTACACTAACTGAATTTTCATCAAAGCTGATGGTCATTTGATCTGTGTGATGCCTGATGTCGTTTGAAGCCTGACTGATGCGTCCGTTGGTATTAAGTGTCGGTCAATAAATGAGCTGAATGCACTGAAGCTGTACACACACTTTCTACAGTCAAAGCTTGGATAAAAAAGAGTGATCATCTCAATCATTTGATCTAACCTCAGCATTTATTCTTCCTCCTCCTCCTCCTCATCCTCCCAGGCTGCAGAGGCATTTCTTGTGATGTTATTCTCAGACGCCAACCTGTGTGCCATCCATGCCAAGCGGGTAACCGTGTTCCCCCGTGACATTCAGCTGGCGAGGAGGATCCGCGGGGTGGACAACCTTTAAAAACATGAGAGCACAAGCTGAATGACTCTGACGTTCCGTCACCACTCAGTCCCATCAGTTCAGACTGTTTGAAGTTTTCTGACTCTGCTACATGTTTACTATCATTTGGCCATTTATCATGGAGCCAACAAGTTCAGATTCATGTCCACTGAGTTCACTTCAGGTCACCTACAGGTTCTCGACTGCTGAAGAAAAAGAGAATGAAAATAATTCTGATGGTTATGTTGTATTTTTATATGTTGTAGAATAATTGTGCTATCCAGAATGCATCTGGATGTGTTAGTGTGGTTACTACTCTTATATATTATGTTGTGTGAATGTTGTTCCTCATTGAATAAATTGTTAATAAACAGCAAGATTTTTTTCTATTAGCTACCTGTTGTCTTATTTTGATCTGGACACAGATTTGATCTCATTGTCTCCTCATGTGATGTTACCAGTGATGATATTACAGTAGAAACAGTCAGTTTGGTCTAAACGCAGACAAACGATTGAGGGAAGGTCATTTTTTCATCCTTGAGTGCCAATCACAGATCCTCCTTTCAATGTCCCAGTCAGATCTGTTCTTATCTGCACTCTGAGCCACCTGGGACAACCAGTGAGGCAGTTTTGGTGCTGTAATCATGATTGGTTGAGAATCTCACTGTCTACTTCCTGTAGCATCAGTGAGCTCTGGCCACTGATCTGTTTTTCTTTAAATATATGAGAGTTACCTTCAGTGTCACACTGTTCAGTAAAACCAACACTATACTCACCCAAACATGTTCAGACCAAATACAAGTTTACATCAGTCTGTTAACACATGAAATTAAATCTCAGTAATGTTTTATGAAGACATGGAGGTTGATGGGTTAAGGTGTGTGACAAAATGACAAAATTTCACACACTTGGTTGATATTTTATATGATGCTAGATAAACAGGGATGTAACCTGAAACTAGTCTGAGAGGGGGAGGCATAATAGCGTGGGGCAGTAATTCTAGTTTTAATGCAATTTTATTTATGAACAATGACAAATCATTTTAAATCACACCTCCTAAGAAAGTTGTTTAACCTCATTCATCAGACACACTGAAATGTAATTTTCTTTATAGTAATAGAATATTTACACTTGCGTGATTAAAAGATAAGGTATACAATAAGACTCAATTTGTGGGGACGGCGGGGCAGGGCTAAATCAATCTGAAACCTTGTCTGTACAGAGAGAGAAAGTTAGCATTAGAACAACCACTAACACCTTGTCAGCCACTGCCAGTTACAAGCTAACAAACATCAAAAAAGTTGCTAACTACGCTAACCATTCTGATTTCTCTGCTAGTCTCTGGATCTGGTCTCAACAGACTCCTCATCTGAGTCTGGGTCTGACTGAGGCTCAAACATGTGGCTGAGTCTCTCTGATGTCTCCTCCTCTAACCATCTCGATACTTTCTACTCTTTCACCTGTACACCTGGAGCAAGCAGGTGGTGGGCGGGACTCAAAGCCTGATCCACATTTCTCAATCAAGAAATAAGAGTGGATGAGCTTCAGCCGCTTTTATTTTTATTTTTACTTTTTATGTGGTAAAACCATGCTGAACAAAATATTAATTAGCAGAGTATTTTACATAGTTTAGAACACGTCTTGATGGACCCTTAAATCGCCAATCTGATAATTAGTAAAACTTTAGAACTGAACAAGGGGATAAAGAACAGACTATATAGTTTCCTAGCCTCGGCATTACTGACTTTTTATATAGTATATTATTAAGATTGCTGTCTTATATGGGCACCACACTATAGTTTTAATTTCTAGCAGAAACCTGTATAAACAGTTCAGTTTAGTTTAGTTTGTTGTTGTAAGAGAAGTAATGTTCTTATAAGTCACCTTTTAACCTTTAGATTTCTTTTGTTTTCATTCTCCTGGCAACATGGTGGCCCTTTGTGTTTGTGACAGACCCAGTTCATCTGGACGGAGCCTAATTTACCGTCTTTGTACCACTCACACTAACATGCTAACGTCGTTTCCTTCGTCGGGTGATTGACAGAAAGGTGAACCAATAGTGTTTCGTCTAGTCAACCCATGGTCTCATCCTAAGCAGTGATTGGATGATTAATTTCCGGTTGTAAACTGATGTCGCATTCAAGTTTTATCGGAGTTTAGGAAATTACGACTTTCACACTTGTAAACAGCATCCTCGTCAACATTCAGGTCGTATTTTAAACTGAAAATTTGAGTTTTTTTGAAAGCCTCCGCATGTCGGACGTCATTCACTTGATGATAAACTGAAAGCATGACATATTAGACAAAATTGATTATTCAATGTAATTAAACGTGTCGTTAAGCCCGGGGTTTTCCATCATTACCCTTCGTCCTATTTTACCCTGAACGCAGCACAATCATCAGACACTGGAGTTATCGGCGAAGAATACGAAGAAGCAGAAGTGTAGTTATGAGCTGATTTTAGGTGTTTTATATAGATAATGTAAAGTTGGAGATGGGACTATGAGCGGAGAAGTGCGGATGTAGCTTTCTGCTCCTCTGGCTTTTGTCCCCGCATTCTCCGAGAGAGAGAGTCGGGATGTTTTCAACCAACATGGAAACAAAAAGAGTAGAGATTCCCTCCGGAGTCCTGGACGACCTCTGCAGGTAACGACGCTCACTGGACAATTAACCGACATTTATCGTTACGGTTTTCTCGTCATTAGTCACCGACGACACAAAAACTGAAGTCAGGAGCCAAACTACCGCTCTCTGAGTTGCTGGACGTGTCTGTAGTTGTCTGTAGTTGCTGTTGTTAGCTCAGTTGCTATTGAACAATGTCTGTAGTTGTCTGTAGTTGTTGTTGTTAGCTTAGATGCTTTTGAATCATGTCTGTAGTTGTAGTTAGCTCAGCTGCTGTTTAACCATGTCTGTAGTTGTTGTTGTTAGCTTGGCCGCTTTTAAACCATTACTGTAGTTGTTGTTGTCAGTTTAGGTGCTGTTGAACCATATCTGTAGTTGTTTGTAGTTGCTGTTAGCTCAGCTGTTGTTGAACCATGTCTGAGTTGTCTGTAGTTGTTGTTAGCTCTGCTGCCATTGAACTGGGTCTGTTGTTGTTGTTGTTGTTGTTGTTGTTATTGTTATTGTTGTTGTTAGCTCAGCTGCTATTGAACCATGTCTGTAGTTGTCTGTAATTGTTGTTGTTAGCTCATCTGCTGTTGAACTGTATCTGTAGTTGTTTATAGTTTTTATTAGCTCAGCTGCTGTTGAACTGTAGTTGTTACTGTCCTGGAACTTTTTCAAAAGATGGTTTCTCTTATTCTAACTTACTCTTATCACACTCATTTTTGTTTGTGTTAAATTTTCAAGTTTGGTTTAAATAAGTTATTTGGTGCTATACAGCAGAAGTGTAATGTCAAGATTTAAAGCTATCATAGGTTTTTGCACAGTGGGAGGAAGTGGAGACATGTCATCTATCTTTATGTACAGTCATTGGTGTGGAATCTTGCGGGAACAGAGCGGATGATGTCACACACGGTTGCCAGGGTAACTGAGGGGTGGTTGAAACAATAACCAGGTGGCATGTTAGAATGTGTAATATGGATGTAGCCCCACAGCGCTTCTTTAGTTGCGTTGTTCCTCCTCTGCATCCTCTGTGTTTCCTGATCTCTGCTGGGAGTCCATTGCTCTAGTGGCCATGTCAGCTGGCTTCAGAGCATTCAGCTGGTCCCTGATATAAATGGCTCAGGTTAAAGGAGTTACTAGTTAAAATTTAAATAAGTTTTACAAAAGCAGAAAGAAAAAGAATTGTATCCTGCATGTCTGAGTCTGTTGGTGTGAACAGACTCATGTGGGGGCTCAGTGAGGGCCCACAGCTCATCTGTGGCCCAGAGCCCCTGGCTGCGTTAGTCCGGCCCTGACCCCCTTTCTCCTGTGTCTCCAGCCGGTTCATCCTGCACATCCCCAGTGAGGAGAGGGACAACGCCATCCGGGTGTGCTTCCAGATCGAGCTGGCCCACTGGTTCTACCTGGACTTCTGCATGCAGAACACTCCAGGAGCTCCTCACTGTGGGATCAGAGACTTCGCCAAAGCTGATATCTTTAGATGCGATTGATTATGTTAAATGACCTTATTACTTTTTTCTTAATGTTTTACATTTTACATCCACTCTGTTGTACTGCACACAAACAACATACCATTTTATTTTTTTGTCATTAAAACAGCCACCATATGAAGTCATGATTATTCTGGATACAAACATGAGCAGTTTGGTTTTCTTGCACCTCTTCAGGCTCATCCTCAGATGTGGCACTCATGTTGGTTTAGTTGTTTTCCTTGACAGCTGCAAACTTTTCCATCACTGTCCATTTCTGTTGCCTCATGGAGAGGATGTGCAGAAGGTACTGGAGCAGTGGAAGGAGTACAAGATGGGTGTACCCACATATGGAGCAATCATTCTGGATGAATCCTTAGAAAATGTGAGTTGTATTTGCACACTCAAACACATTACATCTTGGCTTTATTTGTCATTTCTATCAGTCATATCAATACTGTACTCACCAAGTTAACAGCTGAGATCAGACGGTCAATTTTTCTTACTGTCAACAAATATTGAAAAATCAAAAAGACGAAGCCAACAATCTGCTGAGCTGGAAATAGCTTCTCTGGGCTGAATGTAGGGGAGGTGGGGTGGCAGTCCCTCAGACCAGTCCATTCGTTCCTACACTGTCAATCATTTAAAACACCTCAGTGAGTTGACTGAACTCAGGATGAATAATTAGTTTAAAGTTGTCCTGTAAAACCAGCTGAATGAACTGAAAAAGTTGATTCAAAATTATGAATCATCAGCTGTTCAGTCAAACTGACGAACATCATCACAGACAGATTCTCAGTCTGAAGAGTCATGAAGAACCTGACTCTGTTAACACATCTCAGTACGTCTCAGTACTCCTGCTCAGGTACATGGAAAGACTTGATTTATTTAAGGCTTAGATGAATTGGTCTCTTTTGGATTGAACGAGGATAGTCTGAGGACAGTGATCCATCATTATGTTAGATATTTATAATCAGAAGGTTTCTGCTCTGAGCTGGATCCTGTTTGATCAGGATCTATTGTAAACTGGGTCGAGGACCTTGCTTAGAACCTTATAGTCAACTGACAACAGGTAAATATGGCAGTAATGTAATTATTGGTTTCATTTCAAAGAAGACAAACAGCTGTGTGTCACAGAGGGATGAGGATGAACACATCATGCTGATGAGGAGACTCATTGTGGTGATTTGTTGACAATAAGAAAAATGATCTTGAGTTGAAATGACGTGTCTTTTTTAAATTGAAGGTGAAAAGTGATGAATGATTAACTCTCACCTGCTGCATCCTCTCTCCTCAGGTGCTGCTGGTCCAGGGATACCTGGCGAAGTCAGGCTGGGGGTTTCCAAAGGGGAAGGTTAATGAGGACGAGGCTCCTCATGACTGTGCAGTGCGTGAAGTGAGTCTCACGTTCTTCATTGTTCAGCATTAAGAGCCATGTCTGATGAATGGCTTCAGTTTGTAGTTCAAACACTGTGTTTTCCAGGTATTGGAGGAGACGGGCTTTGACATCAAGAATCGTATCTGCAAAGACAAGTACATAGAGCAGAAAATCACTGACCAGCTGGTGCGGCTCTACATTATTCCAGGAGTGTCAAAGGACACCAAGTTCAACCCCAAAACCAGGAAAGAGATCAGGGTAGGACCTCTTTCTTTCAACACTCAGTCTCCAGCTGTTCGTAGCTCACACACATGTTTCATAGTCTCCTCGTCCTCCTGCAGAACATCGAATGGTTTCCTATTGAGAAGCTCCCGTGTCACAGGAACGACATGACCCCGAAGTCTAAACTCGGACTGGCCCCCAACAGGTTTTTCATGGCCATCCCATTCATAAGGTGTGTGTACAACCATTATTGTCATCACTGAATTATTCATCAGAGAAATATACACACACATGTGTTTTCTGAGGGTGAGGTGAGCAGATAGATATCAGGACATGGTGAGCCTAGCTTAGCATAAAGACTGTAAACAGGGGGAAACAGCTAGCCTGACTCTGTCCAAGGTTCAGCAGTCACTGAATCACATGTTGTGTCACGTTTGTGTCTTTGTACAAACAGAAATGAAACAGTAAGAGTTTGTGTTTGCCTCAGTGTTGTTGAACACCTGTATGTGACTTAATGTCATTAGTCATTTACTGATACTAATGTGACACTTACTCCTCCACCTGTACAGACCACTGAGAGACTGGATCAGCAGGCAGAGAGGAGAGTCAACAGACAGTGACGAGGACTTCAACAACATCAACACTCCATCCAAACCTTCAGACAACGCTCGGTAAGAAATACATCACAGATAACAGCCACTCTGCACTTTACCTACAGAGCTTTACACTGTAGCTTCTGTCACCTCATTGGTTTTCCAGCTCACAAACATCAGCCTGGTTCCAGCTGTTAAACCCTCTGTCCACTAGCTGACTCAGTCAGAGAGCAGTTGGTGAATATAGTGGAGCATTTAGCAGCTTAAGAACCAGATATTTCCCTCAGGAGCTGGTGGAGACCAAACACAGAGCTAATGAGATTCATCAGGTGACAGAGACACCACTCCACATAAATCATCATGATGATGTGGAGAAACTAACACATTCACCATAACAACTTTACAAGGTGATAATACACTGTATTGCCAAAAGTATTCACTCACCCATCCAAATAATTGAAATCAGGTGTTCCAATCACTTCCATGGCCACAGGTGTATAAAATCAAGCCCAAAAGCATGCAGACTGTTTCTACACACATTTGTGGAAGAATGGGTCGCTCTCAGGAGCTCAGAGAATTCCAGGGCGTTACTGTGATAGGATTCCACCTGTGCAACAAGCCCAGTTGTGAAATTTCCTCGCTCCTAAATAGTCCACAGTCAACTGTCAGTGGTATTATAACAAAGTGGAAGCGATTGGGAACAGCAGCAACTCAGCCACGAAGTGGTAAGCCACGTAAAATGACGGAGCGGGGTCAGCGGCTGCTGAGGCGCATAGTGCGCAGAGGTCGCCAACTTTCTGCAGAGGCAATTGCTACAGACCTCCAAACTTCATGTGGCCTTCAGATCAGCTCAAGAACAGTGCATAGAGAGCTTCATGGAACGGGTTTCCATGGCCGAGCAGCTGCATCGAAGCCAACATCACCAAGTGCAATGCTAAAATCGGATGCAGTGGTGTAAAGCACGCCGCCACTGGACTCTAGAGCAGTGGAGACGTGTTCTCTGGAGTGACGAATTGCGCTTCACCATCTGGCGATCTGATGGGCGAGTCTGGCAGTTGCCAGGAGAACGGTACTTGTCTGACTGCATTGTGCCAAGTGTAAAGTTTGGTGGAGGGGGGATTATGGTGTGGGGTTGTTTTCCAGGAGCTGGGCTTGGCCCCTTAGTTCCAGTGAAAGGAACTCTGAATGCTTCAGCATACCAAGAGATTTTGGACAATTCCATGCTCCCAACTTTGTGGGAACAGTTTGGGGATGGCCCCTTCCTGTTCCAACATGACTGTGCACCAGTGCACAAAGCAAGGTCCATAAAGACATGGATGAGAGAGTTTGGTGTGGATGAACTTGACTGGCCTGCACAGAGTCCTGACCTCAACCCGACAGAACACCTGTGGGATTAATTAGAGCGGAGACTGAGAGCCAGGCCTTCTCGTCCAACATCAGTGTGTGACCTCACAAATGCGCTTCTGGAAGAATGGTCAAAAATTCCCATAAACACACTCCTAAACCTTGTGGAAAGCCTTCCAGAAGAGTTGAAGCTGTTATAGCTGCAAAGGGTGGACCGACGTCATATTAAACCCTATGGATTAAGAATGGGATGTCACTTAAATTCATATGCGAGTCAAGGCAGGTGAGCCAATACTTTTGACAATATAGTGTATGTCGGTGTTGTGTTTTCATTGGACCAAAATATTGATTAATGCAGCTTTAATTCAAAACAGTGAAGCTCCAGTTTGTTTAGCAGAATCAGGACCAGGATCCTAGACAACAAAACCAGTTCATCGGAGTCTGGCTCTCTCTGGGTTTCCTGCTTTACTAACATCAATATAACTGAAGTCATGAAGCTGGTGATGAGCTGGGCTATCAACTGATTATCAACTGGGTTATCACCTGGGTTATCAGCTGAGTCCTTCATTACAGGCAGCATGATCAGAACCATGAATTAAACAGTGCTACCAGCAGAAAAGAGCAGTGTGAGAAGTTCACCTGATGACCTGTAAAGAATATGATGACGGAACCAGAACAAGAAGCTGTAGAAACAGAGAAATAATGTCTAAATATTTAAAGTACAGCTATAAATATGTATGTGAATGATTATACATGTCTGGTGATGAACAAACTGTTATGAATATGTGATGCACATAGAGGAGGAGAGTGGTAGTTCCTGTCTGAGGTCAGCTGGTTTATGAGAAACAGTGTGAACTGATGAGAATTTGGTGGCCAAAGGTCAAAGGTCCATGATTGTACCTGCTGTTAATGATCGTATCTTTACATCAGTCGAATCAGAAGAGCCTCATGAGTGCACACTTACACACTGGAGTTGTGTACATTGTGTAGTTGTGTGAAGAGTTTTTTAACCTGGTCTGCAGCAGGTTAGCAATGCAGCATAGGTTACCATGGTGACCTGACCCAATTAAAAGTGAGTGAGCTTTGTGATCCTGAGTTAATCCCATAGATAGCAGGATAATCCATTAACCTCACTTTGGACACATCAGACAGCTCCCTGAATCTAAACATCTGAAAAACCTCTGTACAGTTCAGTGTAATTACTAATCATCATATCAGATGACCTCTGCTGTGTTGTTCATTACAAAAACAAACCAAGAGGAGCCATGGATGTCAGTGAGTGCAGTAGTGATGGATCATAATAAACTATTATCAGAGGTTTTAAGAGGTCATTTACCCTCCATCCTGTATTATAGAAAATGCTTCCTTCCACCTCTCAGGTCAAAGTCCCGCCGCCTCACAAGTACTGATGTGTTTCCTGGGAACGGATGGACAAAGCAGATGCAGCAGAAGGCTGTGGGCCAGCTGAGCCAGTACGAGCTGAACCAGGTTAGAAAAGACCACAGTCAACTGTTATTTAACAGCAGCAGCATCCAGTCAGGATACATGTCCGCAGTCATGTGACTGCTCCACAGTAAAGTCTGTCAATACCTGATATTTACAGTGAGTGTGTGTAGACACCAGTGAGGAGAGACACATGGATATTCACCCAGCAGCTAACATCATCTGCAGAATCACATGTGGTTCACATTGGTGCACTGTACACCAATGACCTCCTCTCTCTTCTTTTCCTCTCCTCTCTCCTCTCTCTCCTCCTCTCCTCCTCTCCTCTCTCCTCTCCTCCTCTCCTCCTCTTGTCCTCTCCTCTCTCCTCTCCCCTCTCTCCTCTCTTCCAATCCTCTCTCCTTTCTCCTCTCTTCTCCTCAGCCATAAAGGCATTTGGTCAACTTGCAGGTTTTATCATCAACTGGATGAAATAGTTTCATGATGCCTCTCTGATGATCTGGATCCTAGTTTTCTTATTATCTCACCATTGAACACTACATCCTCTATATCTGTATATCTATATTACATTTCCAGGAACCACTTTCTTTGTCTTGTGGACATGATCAGTTAAGTTCAAGGTCCTCATTGAACATTGGAAGCTTTTGCTCCATTTGTCAACAGGCGGCGCCCTGAAGATGATGATATTGCCAAAGTTTCTTAATCTATTTTAAAATCTGTATTCCTTATGTCCTCATTCTTCACAAGTCTAGACTCTGTAATCATGTCCTATGTTTGGCTGTGTAAACCCTCGGGGCAGACAAAGGTCTTAGGCTGGATCTAGCATCACAATGTCCTTGTCTGCCATCACCCAGCGTGGCTCAAAACACAGCACAGACACAGTGACTGGTTGACTTTACCCAGCACTCATGGACAGAGGTCCATTGATCCAGTGGGACACAGAAAGTGTCAGTGTCCTGAGTCGCCACGGCCACAGTTCCCTCAGAACCTCTGTTCTTTCCTCTGTAGAACCCGACCATAAAGGCCAATGGGAAAAGATGTCAGGACTCGCCTTATGTGAAGAAAGGAGCCAATGACACTGGAGCCAGCAACCAGCAGGTCAAAACCACATTATAAGTGCAGAACCCCACATGGTTCAGACTGTTGTTTAAGTATGGAGGGATCATGTGGTTCTGGATCTCAGACCAGTTTTAAAACCATTTTGTGTAGAGTTAGAAAAGGATTGACTATAAGTGATTGTTTAATATTAGCAGGTGAACATTAGTAAGTAAGAAACCTCCATGTTGTTTTCAGTATAGAGAGATCCTGTGGTTCTGGATCTCAGACCAGTTTTAAAGCCATTTTATGATCTATAGGTGATGTTTAACAGCAGCAGGTCTCTCTTCCACTGTTTCTACAGAAAGAAGATAAAAGACTTCAACCCAGGAGACTGCAGGACAGTTTTGACAGAGGTATGGATCATACATGTACCAGGTCTTTGAATGAACTAAATAAAATCCTCTCCTGCTCTGTGTCTGATAATCCGACAGCACTCAGTTCACGCATGGGTAGTGTAGGAGAAGAGGTGGATGTGTAACTGTCTTCAGAGCTGTTAGATTCACAGACACGATGGTTCCTTCTCAACATGAGACTGACACAGTTACCAGAACACTGACAGAAATACTGTGGTTCATGTGGTAGAAACATATTAGTGTGGAACAGTTCAGTGAAACGTAAGAGGACATGTTGAAGGATGTGTAGCTCATTTTAAAGGTCGATGCATATGGACTCTGACGTGTATATATGTTATGTTTTTTATATATATGTATACATATATATATATATATATATATATATGTATGTATGTCTGTTATTATATGTCTGCTGTATATACTTCATCTGACACAGTTCAGTTCTTATGAGGGACTGAAGGTGCTGATACAAAATGATTGTTCATATGTTTTTGATAAGAACAAGAGTTTAGCTGGCGAATGTGACATGGATGTGAAGAGATCCAGAGAGAAACATCTCACTCTGTTGGAACTAAAAAAACACTCAAAGTGGAGCTTCTTTACCTCACAGACAATCTTTGACATCACCTGTCGCGCACACTGATGTGACGGCTGTTGTGACCTGATATATGTGTGGTTGACGGCAACAGTCAGTACTGACTAAACTCAGCTTTAAGCCTCACAGCTTCATGAGTCATTTTACAACCCAGTGTCTGACTGACTTAACCTGCTCACAGGTAACACGAGGGTGTAGTAAAGCAGAGGTTAATAAAACACAGTAGAGTTCAGACTTTAATCAGCTTCACTTTAGCCCATAGTGAACCATTTAAAATATCCTTGATCAGCCCTGATATTGATCCTCAGGTTCCAACATGTTTCCTGGAGCAAACACTGAGTCGTTAGGCAGAATAAAAGTAAGAGTTAAAATTCTGTTTAGAAAAGGTTTAGTTAAAAAAAAAAACATTTTATAATTCATCATAATCTTTGCTGTTCAGTGAAACATTTAGTGAAGACTTGTTTGGTTCTCTGTATGCTGCAGTTAACAGACTCAGGATGTCATCCATCCTGTAATCCCTTTAGAATGACTGAAACATGGATCATCTCACAGTATACCCTCTGACCTCTGACCTGTGGCTGATCCACATACACACTGTCTTATTTATCTGAGCTTCATGGTGAATGTGTGTTCACTGAATGTTTCTCCAGTGTTTGAGTCTCTCTGTGTGCACAGGTAAATATGTTTTAGCCTTTTTTACTGCCCCGACCCAAGTCTGCTGTATGTTCATCAATCGATTATATGAACACAATATCAACTGAAATATTACAGTTATCAACACTTTTTAAGACAAAACCTGAAGATGCATGCAGTGGCCTCCAGGGATGCTCACCCAGTCAGTTTTATTGTCCCATATTACCAGAGACATGTAATTAATCAGATTAACACAGTTATTCACATGCAGACAGCCTGGGACCCTCAGGGCTCAGTGAACATCCTCCTCAAACGTAGCATGTAACGAGCTTCTCTCTTCACAGACGGAGCTCCGTGCAGCTCTAACGGTCAGCAGACGGTCCACAGAGACTGTGAGCAGCTGCTCTCCTCCAAGACGTTCCTCAACTTCAGATTCGACAGAGATGCCATCATGAAATGTTTTGACTACTGACGTGATGAAGCTGATCCTGTAACAAAGTCTAATGATGGCCTCAGAGAATTTTACCTGCAGTCCAGACAAGGATGTTGCTGAACACAACCTTTCCCTTGATGCTTTGCTTGTCATGAACACATTCTCTATGGGGAGTTGCTCTTCTGTCACTGAAGACACACAGTGAGCTTCACTGGAGCTGTTTGTCTTTCCAGACCTTTTTTATAGAAACACCTCCAACACTGTCTTCAGTCTGTCCACGACAGAAACACAACGTCATATCTGAAGAGTCAGGACTCGTCTGAAGAGACGATTCAGAGAGAACAGGATGGCTCAGGTGAACATGAGTCAACAGGTAATGGTGAAAAGTCTCAGCTCTGACATGTCAGTGAATCAATCTTCTTTATGTCAGATACTGATTTTAAGATGTAATAATTACACGTTGATGATATCCTCCAGCTGAACGTCAGACCAGAAGGACGGTGTATTGACATGTTGGCTTCATTAGTTCAGGTTTTTATCAGGAGTTCAGTGTCGTAGAATAATGACCTGACAAAGTGTCATCACATCTTTGTCACAAGTCACAAGTCTGTGGCTGCTAATGTTATGTATGATGTTTATTAATGTTTGAAAATTCTTAATTAAGGCCAGAAAATTTACAAATGAAATTCCATCGATCAATAATCCTCAGTGTGCTCCTCAGTACATCACAGTACTGTGATAATAGAATGAATCAAACTGGTTTCAATCTGAATTTAAATTCTGCTGTGATGTTAACTTGTCTCTTTCTTGTGGACACAAAGTGAAGCATCATGGGACTGATGATCATGAGAAACAATGACCATGAAAAGACCACGGCTGCTTCAGCTTCATCACAAATTAAATGAAAGATCTTTATGGTCTGAGAGTTTGAAAGTGAAAATACAAAGTTTAATTATAGTGTCAGTGTAATCTCAGGAGCACACTGGATCACTGGGCAGTTTTCATTTTGACAGGAAGTGAGTATTTCCCACCTCATAGGTTCATTTAAATCTGCCCACATTAAAGGAAAGTGATGTTTTAATTAAAGTAACTACTTAAATTTAATATTTTCAGCCACAGACGTTCACATACTGTTGTGTTGCCTTAAAGTGACCCTGGTTTTTATCTGCTTCAGTCTGATGAGTTTACAGGTTTAAACCAAATTTTCAGTCATCAGCTGCTCTGGTGTTTAGTTGCTATGAAAACATTCAGACTCTTGGTCTCTGGACCATGATGGAGGACCACAGCATTAGACCACTGTGATCAAGGTTCAGGTCCTCCACAGCTGAAACCATACTGCAAACCACAGTCTAACAGTTCACATGTCCTCCACATGTGAGACGACTCAGTCTGGATGGAGCTCTCCTCTCATCATGTTTGTCATGTTACTGATTGTACAGAAGGTGAATTCATGTCGTCCTCTGCTTCACTAGTGTTTTGACTCAACTGTGAATATTAATAAAGTCTGTTTTTTCACTCCTGTTCTAGTTCTAACTATGTATCAAATATCCCAGTCTCTTATTTTGGTGATGACTCTAAACTGATGATATAAATAATGAAAATAATGGTGCGTAAGTGAACAGGTGATAACTGTTTACAGAATAAGACCCAGCTGCAGTAACAGTAACATAAATATCATATACACAATATCTTCAGAAAGTATTAAGACCCCTTCTTCATTGTGATGTAGCTCAGTGTTTCCCAACCTGTGGGCTGCGATGGTATTGCAAGATACTTTATTGGGTTTAAGTCTGGACTTTGGCTTAGACACTCACAGTCAGAAAGTGTCCTGAAGACTCTACAGAGAGCTCCCTGGACTTCATGGTTTTTGTCCTGACATACCTGACATACACTGTGTCAGGACTGTGACGTGTGGGACCTCATATACACAGGTGTGTGTCTTTCTACACTAATTTACCACAGGTGGACTCCATCAGGTTCTAGACTCAGCTCAGTGATAATCAAATCAAACAGGAAGCCGCTGGCCACATTTTGGAGCCACAGTGAAGAGTCAGAAGACTTTTGTAAAGGAGAGATTTGAGTTTTTGATTTTTAATACATTTGCAAAATTTTCTAAAACATGTTTTTACCTTTTCATTTTGGATTATTGAGAATATACTTTCTCCATTTAAACTCAAATTTACTGACAAAACAGTGTTTAAAAGATGAATAGGGTCTGAATATAAACTGTACAGGTGTAAGAAAAAGTTCAGTTAATTTGAGTTTTGAAGTGAAGCCCCTGCAGCAAACAGACATTAAAAATTTGTCTTTCTTGAAATGTTGGTGCTCAAGTACTTTTTATCTTAAAATGAGACAGTCAAAGTGAAGAAGAGTCTAGCTTCTACAACAAAACAATGATCCAGAATAGACTAACATCCACCATGAACCACTTTGTCTGTGCTTTTATTTTGAAGGCTGAATACCTAGCCGGAAATCAAAGTTTTTGTATAATTGTAACTGTAACTTACAATTTTTATGATTAATGTTCGTCTCACAACCGTAGAGGTGTTCACTTTGACGACCTAAAGCATTTTTAAATCAGAAGGATCTTTCCCTCTCTATCTGAAAAGTGTACATGTTAAATATTAGCTTACACATAATGTACGTCATTAATGTGAGAGGTTTTTGTCCTGACGACTCTTATTCTGAAGAGGTGTAACCGGATGTATTTTTGGCGGCGGAACCACACTGGAGAAACACGGGGACAGTTTCACTGAAGAGACGGGGTACCGTTCGTTTGTGACACCACTGGAGCCCGGAGCTCTTCACCGACCGCGGTTCTGTATCTCGTCCATCAGGTCGGTGACAAGGTTGGACACGAAGCGTTAGTTTGTCGGTCTCAGGCGTTCGCTAATTCAGCTAACTCTCAGTCAGTGTGTTTCGGTACCGGTGAAATGAAACACAGGCTGCTGGAGGAAAACTTAGCTAACGATCCACCACGGGTTTTCCGCTAGTTCAAATACGTAGAAATTACACTGGCCTGTCAGTATATTGTACAGTTAGTTACATTAAAATACAGTAGTTAACTTTAACAGGACTACAGGTGCCAGAACCTGATAAATAAAAACACCCACAGGCATTTACCGCCGCTGAAGAGGAACCACAGCAAAGATCAACATGGTTACACATCCATAACTTTATCTTCCTGTGATAGTTTCAGTCGTATTCTCCTCTGACCCTCCTCACTGAACTCTCCCTCAGTCTGTAGAGACACTGGTCAGACTATGAGTGGTAATTAACTCACCTGTGGTCAACTTTACAACACTGTCATGAAACCTTCAGCCTCTTAGTCAAAGACTAAGAGCATATAATAACACAAGATCCACATGAACTGGACAGAGAGTGACAGAAAGAGTTAATGGTGCCGAGGCACTGAAGCTAACAGACTGAGTCCTCTTCGTCCTCCTCACTGCTGAACTGAGGTCTATGTAAACTAAATGGTGCTCCCCTTTTACTAAACAATGAAATGACAACATCCTTTCTGTTTGTATCAGGCTTATGTGGACAATGGTGTAAATAAACTTATTTATGGTAAATGATATATAATTTCTATGTTTAGATGAGGTGTACTGTGAGATACATATAATATATAATAAGTTCTGACCTCAGTGAAGAAACAAAGACAATGTAAACAGGACCTGACAAGGAGTTTTAGATTTTTACTAGAGAAACATTTTATCTGTTAGTGAATGAGTGTTGAGACAGAATACATGTCGTTGATTATAACATCATATTGTAAACGCTCATAAGTTGTTTGATCAGATGTGTTGTTGTGTTGCAGTGCATCATGTCGAACCATGGTACAGCCTCACACAAAGCAGCCAAGAGCCATAGCACACCACCCAGAGGCTCCACCTACAAAGGCCTCAAAGAAATCCACATTGATGAGGAGGTGAAGATCGCAGTGAACCTCTCTCTGGAGAGGTTTCGCTACAGCGACCAGAGAGGTATCAGCTGTTCAGTGTTTCATAGCAGAAGATAAGAGCCACATTTTTCTCTTGATTAATACACTAGTTTCTGTTAAATCACATGACAGAGGGACGCCACTGTCCCAGTGAGACCAGTGTGATGGCGGAGTGCTGTAGTGTTCTGATATTTACCCTTTCTCTTCCTGGACTGACCAGAGATGGAATTTCCTTCCTCCCTGTCCAGTACTGAGAGAGCCTTCATCCATCGGATGGCTCAGTCCCTCGGTTACATCTCTAAGAGCAAAGGGTAAGTTCTCACCTGAGTTCATCAGGTGTCTGAGTGTCATTCACAAGAACAGTGCTGGAAATATAACCAGGACTGAGAATGAGAAGAGTGATTTACAAACCCACTTTGTCCCACATAGGCATAGGCTGGGTTTGTAGGCTGGGTTTGTAGTTCTGTGGTGCATCTGTAGGCCACACTGGAGCTGATGTGGACAGAGAGACCACATGGTGACAGTAAGACTTGTGATTGGTTAGCTGTGGCTGATCCCCACTGTAAACCTTAAAACCCTCTATTCACTGCAGTCACTAGTCTGTCAGTGTAAACAGAGCCTCTGATGGAAGTGATCTTATTTACATTGAGTATGTAGAATTAATACATATATAATATATACAAACCAAATACTGAGATATTCTGAAATTTTTCAAAGATTCAGCTTTTCACTCTAATAGTTCAGATGATAGTCAATCAATTGAAATGAAACAAATAGTATTTTTGATTACATTCAAACAAATGCAGTATAGAAGAATCTTGACTCATGGTCTCCGACTTAAACACATGCCAGACATGAGACATAAATGATCCAAACATACAAAATCACAACGTTGTCATCACTTTGTTCCAGATCTCAGTCTCTGGTGAGCTCAGTGTTATCACATCTGATAAAAGGGACGACAGAGTTACACAGTTTTCAATGAGTCATGTAGAAATAAACCTGAAATGTTTGAACCATCTACGATTACAGTTTCTGTCTTGATAAATACACAGTGGCGAGTTTAACAAATATGTTAATAGTAGACGTTTCTGTCTCTCTCAGGAAAGGACCGAATCGCTTCCTTACCATCAGGAAGAAGGACGGGTCAGACAAACCTCGGCCCACCATGCCCCTCACCCTCTCCCACAATTCTCTATACTTCATCCGCAGCCTGCTCCAGAGGTTTCCCATCAGCAACAAGGAACGCACAGACATGCTGCCCAATAGCAAGAGTGGCATGTCTGTGCCTGCAGAGCACGGTGAGCCTCTTAGTAACCAGGTTATTTTCCAAGGTTAGTCATCAGGTCATTAACCAGGTTAGTCATCAAGTTAGTCTACCAGGGTAGTAATCTTTTTAGTAATGACGTTAGTAACCAGGTAGGTTAGACATGCTGAGACCTAGACCTCATTAGACAGACAGACACAGTGACGTAAACATGAACACTTCACTCTGTCATTCTGTTGATCGGTGGTGATGAAATCCTCATATTCCAGTGTGAACAGAAAGGCCAGTCCTCTTCATCAGACCATGCTCTCCTGGCCTCTTCATTTCCACATGGAAACACACCTGAGTGGAGGTCAGCAGGTGTGTTGTTTCAGGTCATGTGACTTTCTGCTCATCCCTCAGACAACAGCTATGACAGGAACAGGGCGAGCGGGCGCTTGAACAACGGCATTCCCATGGTGCCTCGGAGGAGGAGTCCCTCAGACCTGGACAGTTTCAGACGCTCGCTCCCTGTTCATGAACGTCAGGAGGAGATCGTCCAGCTCATCAAAGGAAACAGGGTGGTACTGGTGGTGGGAGAGACCGGCTCCGGAAAGACAACGCAGGTGGGTCAGACTGACGGTCCAACAAGTACTGGACAGATAGAGATGAAAATAGCTTCAGACATTCGTGGTCCTCAGAGGATAAAGCCAAGTCTCTTTGTCCAGATCCCACAGTTCCTGCTGGATGAGTGCAGCAGGAATGGAGAGCCCTGCAGGATCTTCTGCACTCAGCCCAGACGCCTGGCTGCCATCGCTGTGGCTGAGAGAGTGGCCGCAGAGAGAGGAGAGAGCGTGGGCCAGACTGTGGGCTACCACATTAGACTGGAGAGCAGGTAGGAGAACACTGACCAATTCTTCTTATGATGAAACTCAAGTCCCTTTTCCACTGGTCCAAAAACCCACTATGACCTACTGAAATCGGGCTTTTGTCGGCAGTGGAAAAGGGAACAATCAGCATTCACTCCCGGGTGAAAGAATGCCTGAAAAGGGAGTCTGACAGGTGATTAGAGGCGTGGCCTGCGCCTGAACTTAAGATAACTATTTAACTTCATTTAAAGTTAGAGTTGACAGTTTGTTGTTAACTCTAATATTTGTGATCTTGAGGAAACATTTTGTTGAGCATTGACGTAACTCTGTACCTGTTGACGTTCTCAGGGTCTCTCCAAAGACACTGCTCACCTTCTGCACCAGTGGAGTGTTCCTCAGGACACTGATGGCTGGAGATGCCAGTCTGACAACTGTCACTCATGTCATTGTGGTGAGCATCAA